TATTATTTTTGTGTGTGTTGTCTTGGATAAAATTCTAATTGGTATTTGCACAGCGTATTCGTTATGTTAATTTCGGAATTGATTTTGGTTGGATTGAATTTTTGGACAATCACGTTTTCTTTCTTTCTGATTTTTGTGTGGGGTATTTTCGGCTGGTTCCGAGGTTCCTTGTGTTGTAACGTTCTTTTTTTTCTAATGCTTGGCCCTGATCAGGCCGCTTCTGTTCTTAGACGTGATTGTTTGGGATTCATTCCTGGAAGTTATTCAATTTCGTAGTACTTAGGGGGTCTTTACTCTTTGTTTGAATACGTTCATGTGACATATTTTATTTGGAATTGTTTGAATTATTAGTGTGTTTATTTTCTCAGGAATGTTATTTTATGTATCTGCGGCGCGCGTTAATTATCTTATTTTTATTTTTATTTATTTATTTATTTATTTTTTTGGTGTGGTGTGAACAATTGGATTAGATTATTTCTTTCTTCGGGTGTGTGAGTATCCGAACAATTCAGTGGCTTATCTATCGTCAGGGAAAAATTGACAGATAAAGTCTTCTTCAACTTTGAAAGAGTGATTGTTCTTCCTTGGTCGAAGGTGAGACGTAGGGGGGTGAAATCTGGTTTCTTTTTAGGTCAAGTTTCTTGGCTTGTATTCTACTAAACTGGTCAGTCAGCTTGTTTGTTTTTCGAGCATTGTGATCCTTCTACTAAGGGGTATTGTGGTGCTGAGTTCTTACATTACGGGGTTGTTGGCTTTCACTTTCTCGCGTTGTTGAAGGCTGCAGGGGGGAGTTGCTAACACAATGATTTCTAACTACAGGGTTTTCCCTCGCTTGCATTGACAACTCCGTACTCATTTAATGTACTCCATGATTGTGCTCAGCAGAAAAAGAAATTGTCACAATAGTAGAATGTGTTCGACCTCAGGTGAAATTGTTTTTACATTAATGGACTGAAAAAAGAAAAAAAAAGAGATGAATAGATAAATAAACGTTCAGAAATGTGGCCACACAGAGACTGCAACACTAGTGTGATGTATGAACTGAAAAAAAAAAAAAAAATTCTTTTTGTCATAAAATTCTTTTTGAATCCTTGATCTTAGACATATTTTGTTTGTGATTAACGCCTTATTTTTTTATTTTATTTTTGTATGTGTTCTGAATATTTCTAGGTTTAATTAATTAAGTGATTTAATTGAATTGATGTTTTTGATTAATTGTTTTGATGATCTTCCTTGAGTATTTAATTAGTAATTGCTTTGATTAATCTTGTTGTTTTACTTGCACATTTTGGACTTTGAAATTTAATGTGTCAGTAACGTCACTGTTACCAAGGGTCGTGTGTGAAATATTGGTTACATTATGTTATCCTTTAGCCTTATTGCACAGTATGAGTCATGGTATTTCAAGAAGTGTCTGTCTTCTAAATTTTGGTACACCAAAATTTAATTCCTTAGGGGAAAGGAATGTTGTGTAGAGAATTTGTCTGATCTGATAGCGTTTTAAAAAAAACTAGGTGAATGATTTTATGATTTATGGAAAATCTAATTTTTATTTGATTCTGAATTATTTATTTTAATGCTTTAATTTTGGGGGAAAAAAAACAGATGCTTCTGGGAATATTATTTAGTTTAAAAGAATATATTTATTTTTTTTTTATTTGCAATTTTTGTACAAGCTTTGATTCATTGTGAAAAGAAGCAGGGAAAGGGAAGCAATTTTTGCTAAGTCATGATTTCGCGCCGCTTTGTCTTTTAGAATGTTCGAGAAGGAATTTCATTGTGTTAGTTGACCTTAAGACAGGAAGTACGTGACAGGAAAGGTCAGAGGTTGCTACTGGACTTTCGATGTAAGTCATTCAGGTTTTTGGCGATTGAGGGTCCGGTTGTTGGCTAAGTGAAGAAGGGCGCGCATGCGCGATCACCCTTATTTCCGCATTCAGGGGTGAAAAAACGCAAAAATTTTGCCAAAATTAAGGGGGCGATAATTGAAGCCCCCCACGTTTGTGAGGAGAGGAAGAAAATTTGAGTTTGAATCACTTTTTTTGTAGACACTTTTTTTGTGCGAGACTTGGAGAGACCTGCTTGCGAACTTTGGACGTTACTTTTTGCCGACTTGGACGAGAGTTTGTTGAAAGTTAAGACTTTCACTTTTTTTTGCCGGACTTCCAGGCTGAAGGATTTGTTAAGTTTCGTGGACAATAAGTGGTGCGGATCACGGCGACACTATCGGCCGTTGCCTTGCTGTCGAAAAGAAAAAAAAAATGATCCAGCGAATTTCAAAATATTGGCCAAGTTCCACCCGGCCAACGTGAGATTTATATATCGACATCCTGACTGCGATCTGAAGATTTGCTCGGGTGCTGGTTCGAGGGCTTGTTTCTGCAAGGCTGTGCGAGCGGATTGTGTTGCCGCAAAAGGAATGGAGTCAGGGTTATTAGAAATTGCGCTAGTGGCACCGAAAGAGTGCGAGATCCTTAGACGCCGGTGTTCCCCTACGGAATGAATTCTTAGGACTTATAACCTTTGAAATTTTCCCCAGAATGCAAAGGCCAGCCCAATACCTCCGGGTGCGTTTCAAGTCGTCAAAACACAGATAAGTGCTTCTCAATTTCCTAAACTTTTGGAAATTAGAACTTTACCTAAAATTGAATCTTAAATTCAGTCTACTGAAAATGAATTGCTCCTTTCCCCTTCTAAATTACCGAGACAAACCTTAAGGTTTTATATAAATTAGGGTGTAATAATAATAGTTGTTTGTGTCATCTTCCTTAGAACAGATGTGAATTGCAAATAATATGTTTTCCTTAACTCTTAGAAATTATAGATCGGGTACCCGTTAAATTAAATGAGTCATGTAATAGATTTGCAAATCATGAATTTAAATGTACACAGAAATGACAAATTGATGTATTCCCTGTGTCTAAAATAAGAAAATTGTAAAAGTAAAAAAAAATAAAGAAGTTTGACTCTCGGATTAGGATAAGATTTAAGTTTTAATGGTGAGGAATTTGAAATAAAGTGGTATTTAATCTAGAAACCTATTACTTATGTTTTCTTTATATCTGTTATGTGTTTGTCTTATATATATATTGATTTTACACGTTGTTTATTCGATCCTCTCACGGCGCGGTCCCGGATGCATTTTCACAACGCAATGCATTACCGTTTTACCTATCGATCACTAAAAGTTTGGTAATTAGCAAACTCTTAAGAGTTTAGTTTCTTCAGTTGCTTTTTTTTTTAGTTAGTTGCGTTTCACCTGTCTGTTTCTGCATTAGTTTCCTCCCTAAGAGGAGGGAGTAAGGAAGTAGTAACACTGCATTCGTGCCCATGATTTTTACGGCAAAGTATAGAAACAGAACATTGGTATAGTATCAATTTAACATAATCTTAGTAAAAAGAGATTTTAAAAAACGTGATACTTTCTTTTATTACAGACAAGACCGGCGTTATATACTTTGCCACCCAATGCAATTTCTGTGGATTCTAAATTATGTTATCCAGCAATTTACTTAACTCAAAAAATTTTGCTGTCTTTAAAATCTATTGCCTGGTGACTTCCTAAATTCTAAAAATATGTTATCCCTAAATTTTGCTTTTCGTTACTTCTGCAAAGTCGAAAAATTTTACCGCTCTTAAATTCTGCTGTCTGGTGCAAAATGTATAGTCGCAATGGCTCTGGTGCCGAGCTTGAATATAGCTAAACAAATGTAAACTGTACTTATATTACTTCTCCTAAATGTACTGTTTCAGATGCTTAGCTGCATTAATTAAAAGAAGAGCACCATATGAAATAAAAATTGGTTTTGAATTCTCCTCAAAGAATTTTTGCTGAAGTCTGTTATTGTTCCTCGGCGGCTTTGCCTCACATATTAACACTGTCATGCACCACTTACATCTGAAATATCTGTATTCAATAATGTTAAATAATTTATAATAAATGCAAGTAATTGGAGGCAAGTAGTACATTGTACAAATTAAAATCTCAAGAAATTTTCCATAATTTCTGCTATGTTTGTAGAGTTCTGAAATGTAATGCAGCTGCTTGTTCAAAATTCAGTAATTCAGCAAAGCAAATAATTGCCCCCCCCAGACAATTTAAGCCAAATGATGTTAAATGAATCAGGCAAATTTCAACATAAATACAATGAACGGATGGGCGGTATAGAAATCTGCCTACAGAGTGGGCGGTAGGTATAAAAAAAGTTGACTACACCTGCTTTAAACCAACAGAATTCATTAAAATTAAGACAAAGAAGTTAAACACTACATTTAACAGATAAAGCACATGTAAACTTAATTTAATTTTACTCCAACTACATGAAGAAGAGCGAATAGATGTAAGTGAAAATGATGAGGAAGATTATTGTTTGAATGAGAAATTCTCTTCAATAAAAATATCATGTAACTATCTTTAGGAAGCACCTTCTCTTCTTTGCCTCTACATGGACTCCACTCTGGTCGAGATTCACTGGGCCTCTCTTTCACTCAACATTTGATCAATGTGATTTGTTGCTGGTTATAAAATGTTTCTGAAATGAGACACAGCATTATCATTGAAAATGCTTATGCTGCAGCTTGCTACTTAAACTCAAGATCATAATATTGTTACATGGGTACAGGTTCATAATAGACTGAATGCGCACAAAACTGATGATAGCATGATAAAATTTATTTTATCCAAAGAAACACTTCACAATTCTGGAACTTTCCACAATACTCGCACAGCTCTTCCCTGTATCACAGAGCACAATAAATGGTTTACACTTCCAACTGTTAAGCACATTAAATACAACAGAATGCAAAGCACATCTAAAAGGTGACCATAAATTACAAATGGTCATAACTTCATCATAATGACTAATATTACTTCACTAAGTATCTTAATTTTTACAGCATATTTAAATTTCTTTTGTGAATAATAAGTTACAATACAAAGTAAAGCACTTTTAGTAAAACTGTACACAGTTTAATAAATGTAACAAAAATTTTCTTTTCAGGTATTAATACTTTATTTTCAATCATGGAAAATGAACATGGTGTGGACATGATTTCAATTAAAAGAATTTTGATGATTTAAAAACACAACAAAAGTTTTCTGAAAGTACCGTTGGTAAGTAATTAAAAATATCACTGTTGGTAAGAATGTAGGACTGCAAAAGAAAGGTGTCACAAAAATCCACTTCCCAACAAAATGAATTCCTCCTTTACATGGAGAATAAATGTTACATGAAAAAATAATAATAATAATAATGACTAGAATATTACAAAACAGTGAATGTACAATCAGTATATATTTGGATATTACACAGAAAATGTGATAATAATCTAGTTATTAATAGTTCAACTAAAATGCTGCCAAATTAAACAAATACATACATAACAATCATCATTTTTGTGATCTATGAAAAGTAAAGAATTAGCTTTTGGATGCAATACTTTGCAAGCAACCACTTTGACACATTTGTTTACATCTTTCTTCTTACATCATCATTTTCAACAATAGATAGCAATTACTATGTTATTATTAAAATGAAAATTGAAGAAGCAAATGTTGAAATCATTAAATCTAAATGTCAAAAACTTGGATGACTAAAGCAATGAACAGCATGATGACCTACCTGTGCTTGTGACTAATTATGAGGTATCACTTTATGCAAAAAGGAAGATAGGAAGCTCTACATCTGCACAGAATATAAGTGCAGATCTTGTAAAACTGGAAAATTTCAGAAGCAAAAGACAAATTACACTCAATGCATTTTTTTAGAATGTGAAATGGTCAAATTTATCATACATGTATTATTTTTTCCCTATACAATTTATAGTACAAATATTTTCTGCATCTACTCGAATTAGTTCATTAAATTGGGGCAAAATGAACTAGTCTCAGCTACTCCCTATTAAATGGAATCAGCTGTATCTCAAAGAGTGTGTACTGAAAGAAAAGTTTCAAGACTTTAGAATGCAGCAAATATTACAAAGCGGGGAGGAGTCCAGTTTTCAAAAACTTTCTATCTTAATGTTTAGTATGTATATCTATTAAAACAAATGAAAAGGCAAGACCAGTGATATGACTGTAAAATGTAATTTTAGTTCAGCTTATGGAGTAACAGATTTTAAGAAAATGAGCAGTACATGATAAAAATCCAAATTATCTATTTACAAACTTGCTAGCTAAAATTCTGAGATATTAAGTGTACAGTTGGTTAGATTAATGACGACTCAGGGGGGGAAAAAATTAATTTTACTTGTAAAATGCTGGCCTAAATTTTGTTAAATTCATTTCTAAATTTAATACATAGAAAGGCATTTTTCAATTAGAAAAGAGAAAAACTAAACAATGGTTAGTTTATTTATCTTCCGATCAAAAATAAAATGATTAATAAGCAATTAAAGAAGAAAATATTAATATTTATTTCTGAATTAGAAAAATTTTATCTTTTCTATACATAAATTTAGTTTTTTTTTTTTTTTTTTTCCTCTCTTTTTTAAACACATTAAAGACCAGAATTCAAATACGATGTTCATTTAAAAATTGTTCTCATTTTCTACACTCATTAGAAGGATGCTGTATGAATTTAATCATATCTGATTTTCCTTTATATCTACTGATATTTTCTTTATTTCTACTGATTAGTCTGACTTTTCTTTAAGCCTACTAACAAGTTTGAAAATAATTTGGTAATAATAGATGGATCAATATTAAATGCCATACTGATATTGAAGGTAATCACGTGAGTCACCGAGTCACACTGAAATCATGCACATTTAAGGTTCTCTAGCATTAAAATTTGTTAACATTTAGCATCTACTTTTATATTATAGTTATAATACATCAGCACAGAGTAAAAGAATTATAACTTATTTACAAATTTCATAGTTCACAACCATATAAATATGCATCCCAAAAATGTGCACTAGCCTTTAATGCACAAAATGTAATTTTAGACATTTCAATTTCATTACATATCTTATTCATTTAAATACGGTTTGATATTTTCACTAGAGTAAACATGCTGACATAAACTACCGTATTTAATGGGATATAAGACGCACCCTTATTTAGAAGGCCACACACAAGGAAAAAAAGTTTCAATAGCCGCACGATTGCGCGGTACCACAATAACTTAAAATGTGTTTTTCTTTTTAGTTCTCACGTTTCGTAAAGCCAAATAAACAATCATTGAATGGAATTACCAAACATATTTTTATTAAGGAAAATTAACAAACGGCAAGCTATTTGAACATATGTAAAATTCAATAATGAATAAATGAAGAACGACAAGCAATCAAACATAATACAAAATAAAGCAGAAACAAAAAGAAAACAACAAAAACAGATTCAAGGAAAACATTGCCTATCATGAACTTCGACATCAGCTTCGAGCTTTGGCACTTTTTGGCGACAGATATTTCACACATCCGCAAAATAATTATGGCAGATGTAGAAAAAGTTATGTGTGTCTAGACCTTTATCCGGGCTAAAAATAGCATTCAGTAAAAATAGTCAGTCAGT